CTTTATGCTCTGACGACTAAGTATAAAAACTCCACAATACCTTATTCCGTACACGCATTTTAGGTAATGAGAAAAGTGTAAAGAATGGCACTACTACTTTACTAAGAAACATAAAGTAAACGACACTTTTAATTCACTGCCTTATTACTACACTTTACTTCATATTTCCACTTAAATTTTAAACTTATGTTCTATATTTTATTGAACAATATTACCAATATGAATACCCTGTTCAACTGTTTCTACTTGCACTGTGTAGAGAGAGAATCAGATGTAATACATGCTGTACTACATGCTGGAAATTGCACACTGTATTATAATTGCTGTTTGGAATAAAGCCATTATTATTATTATTGTTATCATGAACTATAGTTGATGCCTTCCCACTGTACAGGATTATTTCTTCTGCTCACTGTCAACACTTTCACGAAACACTGAGTTTTTCTGTACTCACCGATTTTATACTCCTCCTTTAGATGAGTGAAACGAAAAGTCATCAGCTGGAGTTTCTGTATAATTCGCGTTTCACTCATAAAGTCACAAATATGAAGTGAAGAGTTGATACATCTGTAGGTGATTTTACTCAAGCTATCAGGTCTCTACAAAATAGTGTGCTATGCCCACTCAGAAGTAGTTAGCGGTTGAGGAGATTGAAAGAATGAGACAGGTATCCGGGTAGGAGTGACATCTTCTTTATGATATTTAAGGTGTTCTTTATCTGTCGGGTGATGAATGCCCTTCCTTGTATATGACTAGGGTTATACGCTTCGCTTGCCCACTGCCATTCTTTCACAAAAACCTTTAAAAACGTGAATTCTTATCCTGCAATAATACAACCAAGTAGTCAGTGATTTTGAGAACTATTTTGATAGAAAATTCGATTTTTGAAAATCACTGACGAAGAACGTGGTGAGATTAAACTTACTGTGTTTTACCACAAAAGATAAGATTTTATTTAGATAAATCACACATTACCATACAGTAACATTAACTGGTGATGTTTCGAGCAAAAACCATTGCTCATAATCATATCAAGTCAGCCACACAACTTTGTGTATTTTTCTTCAGGGTTGGGAATCCAGAGATAATTGAATTCATGAAAAGAATGGAATTTCCTGGCAATTATTCCCAAATAGTGACCCATTACGCTTCGAAAGTTGTGGAAACTGTCAGAGGTATTGCTGAACCAGAAGTTGCTATTACACCTATTTTATATCAAGAGGTTTTAGATTACGGATATCAGGTAAGTTTTGAGAGAGGCGTTTAGCAGTAATTGTTTTATCTACACGCACAACAATATCAGATGTGCTTACTTCACTAGGTGGATTGTTCATAAGCATTTTAGAGTATTAGCATAACTTTATGGCCTCGTTTGTTCACAGTGACTCTTTCTCATATCATGATTCCAATGGTGGGGATGTTTCTCATATTCCTATTATTAATGTTTTACTATATCTTATATATATCCAAACCAAGTTCACTTTTAACGGTTTGAAAAAATTTGGGCATTGGGTATATGATATTCATTATAATAGAGGTTTTTTTTGTATTTCCCAATGAATGAAAAAACAAAACGAGATTGTTTTTACTGACATTTCGCTATTTAATGCTAATAGCTTTCTCAAAGTATTATTAAACCGGAATTTACAAAATCTCAGCATATGTATAACAAAGAGTTAGGGGGTGAGAAAAATATAGACTTAGTTCAACTTAAAAGGACATATTGAAAGTCAAAATAACAATGAAGATCGTTCAAACCAAATATCAAAGGTAATAGTATATCTGTTATTATATCAAAATAAAGTTTACTAACTTGATCATCGTTCATTAGTCTGAGGTCATTTTTGGTTGTCAAGTTCGAGAATAGGTAAAGGTAACCAAACTAAGTGTAGAATGTGAAATACTTGATTATCGTTCGTCAGTATGAGGTCATTTTGGTTGTCACGTTGGGGAATAGGTAAAGGTAACTAAACTAAGTGTAGGCTGTGAAATACTTGATCATCATTCGTCAGTCTGGGTCGTTTTTGTTGTCTATTGGACTTATCCGATGTCGGTTAGTTTCATGAATAGCGATTGGATGATCAACTGTGAATGGTTAACTGCATTTCTGGCTTATCAGCCACTCCCTAACCTTTAAAAAGAGAAAGGTTGATTGTTTGGCTGAAAACCTCACTATTTAAAAATCTAACTCATCGCTACGATAGTTTTGATGCACAGAAAAATATGTAAAATAAACTCATTCCCTGCTGGAATATAGAAGATTTCCAGGATGAACTGCTCCTGTTGGTGAGAGCCTTCACTGGGCCTTTCAATCCTAGTGTCGACTTTTGAGCATAAGGAGGAGGACACGAAGTGTCCTCACCATATCTGAAGTTGCTCAGAACACAGATTGAACCTGATGTGTTATGACACTGTTAGGAATCTATAACCGCATGCTAAACGGAACTAAAATCTCCAAATTCACAGCTGTAGAGTTAGTAATGTAGTCCAACCACTCAGATGACGACAACAAGTACGCTGAGAGTGTGTTAATCAGATTATTACCAAAAACATAGAAAGCTGTCATGAGCTGAACACTGATCTCCTGAAAGAATGTGACTGCAAGATTTCAATCAAAAAGAAGGGAAACTGCAGTTATACAGTGATCTGCACCTAAAAGCAACACAGAAGGAGGACGTCTACATACATTTGCAGACAGTAACGGACAAGAACCCATACAGAATTCCAATTGGTAGAATAAATGTCACACTGTGGGCAGAAAGCGCAAGCAGAAAGCTCATCACGAGTCTGGCGTCACTTTGTGTCGCTGAATATCCTTGTTCTGTGTAGGAATATGTTGGGTAACAATACAATAATGATAATTCGATAATTAGTGTAGCACATTCGCTTTATTTGTTGTCCAAGTGTCAATGCGTGTGTAACTGTAAACTCATGTTTTTTCGAGAAAGCTATACAATACGGTTACGTATGATAAATCACGCTGAATTCTCATGTTCTGTAAACTCGGCTGACCCGAACGGAATAGATCAATCTTTGTGCTTGACCTTGAAATCTTCCCATTACACTCGCTGAGTTGAGTTATTTGGTCCGATTGTGGAAAATAAATTAGTGGGCCACCAGAGATAGTTTCATCTATTGAAAAATGGTGGATTCCTACTTAGTGAACCACTTCGTTGGGTCTTCTAAGACATTTAAGCTCTCAGATGACACCAGGTGTTAACACCTCAGTGTAAGCCCCACTGGTAGTGATTTTATTCAGTGGAGTGGGGATACATCTTGTCGACGAGTCTCAAAGAAGATGAAATACGTTTCACTTTCTTCACTGCTATGAATTATATTCATTCCATATCTGCCAATGTGCGTCGTTGACACAGCTGTTAGGACGCTCGCCGACCGTGCACATGGTCCAGGGTTAGATCGCTTGCCGACGAACACCTGCTATTATTGATCAACCTGCTAAATTTGGGCTACTGATATCACCTGCCAAAAATTACATTGCTGTGCCGAAATACTGTGTGAAAACAAGTCATGATAAAAAATTACGTCTAACCATGTTTTTAAAGAATTATAGAAACTGAATATTAGTTGGGGGCGTCTCATTTATTCTTCATTTTGAACACAACGAAATGCTCCGTAGTATTAGTTAGACTGTCATTTGAATTACCGAATAATTTTTCCTTCAATCTGCTATAACATAACGTGGAACCGATTGATCTTGTGTCAGGATAACTGTTTAAGTGTGCTAATTTCCCGAAGACATTGGCGTCAAGAGTGGCAAGTGTTCTTCCTCGTTTTCATTTTAAATCAAATACAGCGAAGTTCTCATTGCTCATTTTATAAGTCTTCATCTAGTTTGGCGATCACACTTCAATCCTGATTATTAGAAATCAGTCAGCACCAGCTCCAAGGATCTGATGTAAGACATTGGTCACTCTGAAGTGACGAATCCAGCAATGACATACTTTTTGGAGAAATTCAAAGACCTTGGATTTAAAAATAGATCGGCAGCGAGTGGATTGCATATTTCGGTTTTTGGAACACGAGCCAACTCTGTATTTTTTCGATTGAAGATAGACAAGCGTCTAACACTTCTTCAAAGATAAGCTTTAGACATCTCAGAGAGCTAAGAAATTCCCCATGACAACCACCGTTTAATCGAAATCTCACATCCTAAGGATAAGGTGACTCTTGCTTCCTAGATTACCATCTGATCGTAAATTTCTCTCATTTGTATTCGTTCAACAAACAACCAGTAATTGTATAAATGTTTGGTTCCATCTTATAGGGTGACGAAAACACAGTCATTCATGTTTGGAAAACGTCAACCTGGAAAAATTATACCAGAAATGCTACCGCAAACAAATTCAACGTCATAGTCACTGGTGATTGGAATTTAGATGATCTACATAGCGAATATGATTGGACAAAATACTACCAACAAGATATCAGAGAATTCGGAGGTTAGTTGATTTACCGTATGGTTTGACAGGAATAGTGTCATTAACCAAACTTATGTGTTAACATTATCTATTGGATTTGGTTAATTTTGAGCTTGTTAGTCATTTAAAAATGTGAATCGGTCGGTTGTTTGAAACTGCACAGTATGAGATAATATAAATAACAACTGAGGATTCTTACGTTTAGGAATTCAAAAATAATAGAGAGAATATGTAGGTCAGTTGGATGTTTTCAGTGTTGTTACATTATGTGATAACAATAAGAATGAAGATAATAACGCCTCAAATATAGCCCACGCTTAATTAGTTATTTAACTGGCCATTTATACATCAAAACTCAGTGCCTGACTTTATAGGTAGTGCCGACTGCTCTCATTCAGAAGACGATAACAACACATCACACCTTAACATATGAAACCATCTGAATTGCAAATGTTTCGTTCACTGGTGAACTCGGGATATCTGAATTTGAAAATTACACTAATCGTCATTCAGTCTATTAATTTCCTGTGATGATAATAATAATTATCATGTCTTTTACAGGCACAGATGAGGAGGCATCATTAGTCATTGGTGGTGAAGCTACACTGTGGGGCACAAGTGTGGATGAGACCAATGCGATCACTCTAGCATGGTAAGTACCGTTTGTTAATCTCACATTGCAATTATGGTGCTATCAGCTTTCAACCACTTAACAAAATGGTTTGAGTTAAGTTAGGTGGAAATGAACCAAGTGTATATAGAGATTTTCGAGTTGACAAGACAACTGAGTGAAAATGTCGCTTGGGACAGAAAATGACCAAGGAGCCCAATGCTGAGTCTCTACTAGAATATGAGCATCCAATAACATCCCTTCAGGTTCAGATGAAACAGGATGGACAGATCGATTGGATTCCATTGTTAGCCAATCATCAAACAAATATCATAAGGATGAATCGTGATTTTCACTACTCCTATGACTGTTTTCAACGTATCGCATATATTACCAGTCACTATTTTTGAGTGTTAACCGCTAAGGGTTAAAGTTGACCGTCCTACTAATTTTGATATCAAAAGATCATTACTGAACTTTCAGGAAAGGTTGATGCTGGCCTCTTTTATCCTCACATTTGTTCACCAATGAATCGCACAGCTGGCCAGATACTTAGTGATACGCCTTCGTATATGCTACGTAGGCGAGACTCATACAAGAAATGATGAAGGTAGACATCCAGTTTGTGACAGACTGATTTTTGAATAGCCTGACAAAAATATTTAGTGTGACCTTATTTTTCTTGCTTTACTTACTACAACGAAGTATCTTCTCTCACCTCTGTGACATATATGTGTAGGCCCAGAGGTGCTGCTGTAGCTGAAAGATTATGGTCGCAAGATCGGGATACGATTGAAGAATTCTCACAACGAATTGGTGAACTTCGATGCAGAATGCTCTAGTGAGTCCTTGTATTCTTATATTCATGTGTAATCCAATGTGGCAGGTGGAAGTAAATAGACATTTAATGCATATTCTGAAGTTATACTGTGATATGTTTGTGCCCTGGCCTTTTTTCCAAAATACTCACTGTTAGTTGTATCCACTTCTTCCGCTGGTTAGTCGCAGTCTTCATCATATTTCGATCCCGCGGCAAAGTATGTGACGTCCATTTTGTTTCCAACGAAGAATTTTATCTTACTTCATTTTTGTTGCATATAATATTAGCACAAGCACAGATATTAGAAAATTTATCCAGCCGCGTTTATTTGAATGTTGCATGGTTGGTGCAAATGCAAAATTCAAAGATTCATTGAATTAGCTCAAAGGAAAAGTGAAGTTTACTAAGCGATTATACCTCTTGGGATGTATTAAACATCTGAGAGCTTTTCACTGCACATGATGAATGTTGCTTAGGTGCTAGTGAAGGCTGTAAATTAACCATGATGATTAATTTGATGGTTTCGTGCCTTAAAATGTGGGCAAAACACCTTACTCGATAAATAACAATTTGAAGACAAAACACGTAGTTCAGAAAGAGGCTCATTTCGGTGAAAACATTTTCCCGGTTAGCTGTACAATCGAACTTATATACATTTTTTCTCATTGGATAGGAGTAACAAAAGTGATTAGATGTCGATATTTGTCAATGCATATGAAGAGTTGAATAAGTGTATCAGAGATCCGGTAGAAGGGTTATGCAACAAGGTGAATCATCTAATCCCTTTGCACATAGAAACAAAGGAATATACTGAGTTAAGTAAGAGTTCCAAAGACATACAAGAGTTACATACAGAGTCAACAACAAACAAACTAAATTCAAGTGAGAAGAAATCAACACGGTTGTTGCCACGATAGAAGTGATTGAATAATTTTTTGGTAAGCATATCTACGGTTTTCTTAAGTGAATGGTTAAGGCTTCAGAAATGCGACGGAGAAGGCAGAGTATTTCACTTGATAGGTTGTTCTTAACTTCGTAGAATACTTTGAAGGACGCCTTTGTTGGGATGGAATGGTCGGCACTCACTTAATGTATGATTATTTTACTCTTCAAGGGAGAACTACTAGATTTCTGCAACCAGGAGTGGGATAGTGTTCTTGAACATCTTCAGACAGATATGCGTCCAACTACCAATGTATCTGGCTCCAAAAGAGTAGGTGAACTGATATATGTACACAACATAACAAAATAACGAGGAGAATTTAAATTTCCATAGGCATTATAGCTGTCTACCAATACTAGTTATTCGATGTGTGAAACAACAAAGCTGATTGTAGATTTCTTTGTAATTGTTTGACGATTTATTTCAGTAACAACATAGAAGCTCATCCAGTCAACGGTCCAGGTTTCTGCCCAACTAAAATTTTGAGAACATGAAAAAACTGGAGAAAGTGAATGAAGATTGCTACTCAACATTTTGTGCATCAGAGTTTTATTGATTTTTATTTTATTCAAATGAAATTTCTAAATATTTTCAATATCCACTGAAATACACTCTTTTGAAAGAAGTAACCTTTGGCTGTCTGAGTGAGTACAGGCTTTGCGAGTCTTCTTTCTACAACAAGGTGAAAATTACTTCAGCACACTGTTTGTTATTCGGCGCTGTATGAACGCTTATCAATGGTCAGTGTAGTCCATGTATAACTGACAGCTTCACTGTCACATCTTCACTTGGTTGTCTTTCGTCAGTTCCAATTAGTTCAACTACTGACAAAAATCTTTTATTTTTTTCCTGTGTTCTTATCCACGTAATTATTGAATGTCCAAGTGATCACTTATCGGCTAACTACTATTTGAGGAAATGGCGTTGGATGCTTGTTGAAGCCATTCAAAGAGCATATTTAGGCTACATGCATTTCATTCTGAATGTTCGTCGAGTGGCAGGCTTTTGGCTGGTTTGGTGTAACAGTTAGTTCATATCTATTCTGTGGGTGTTATGAATTCGAATGTTGTTCTAATCCCTAGTGTTACAGATAAATACGCCGATTTCAGAGTAAGGAATTCGCCTCCCAGTCGATAATCTATGGCCTCATCCATGCCATCCATAGATGAAATGATAATGCTTGATTAAGATAATTGAAAGAGGAATGTCTCTTTAGATTGCTGTTGCTCATGCCGATTAGTGTTTTCACCAGGTGTCTTCACCGCCACCTGATTTTCAACGCTTGCCTCAGTTCCTGTTTTTACTGCTACCTCTGTCAACTTCTTGGTTAGGCTTGAATTAGGTCACTGATATGGCGTATAGTTCCATTATGCTTTAATTTCATTTGACAAAAAACACACAGTGATGCCGTTTTATTCACAAATGGCATGTAGAGCACAATGTTCTGCTCATGATGTCATCGATTAGCCCAGATAACTTTTTCAGACTCAAGTTTACATTTCCATTACTTGTCATTCTTTGATTTTACTGGCAATAATATTCTATATATTTCTGTTTCTGGTACTCAGTATTCCTTATGCCAAGTGTTCAGTGTAGACTCGATGGACATAGATTCAGTGGTGATCTACTTCCTTCACTAAATTGTATCGCTTTAGGAACTGCGTCAACCTACTATGGGATTTTATATTAGTGAATGCAATACGACTCCCAGATTTTCTCCAAGCTATTCGTTTTACTAAAGTCAGTCATTCTGCACTTAGTTGAATTTTCATGTCCAGAATACCTGAGTTACACCGCTCTAATCGACTGATTTATGTGGGTGAGGTGTCAGTTGCTGCAAGGCACTGTTCAGATGAAATTAGTTTTCCTATTAGTTTGACTATTCTAACATGTATCATTAAAATCTAACAAAATAATATTCATAAACCAGAACCACCCATAACTGTTTATGTGATACAAGAATATAACTACGAGTTCAAAGATTAAGGTGTAGTTTATTCATTAATTAAACTGACACCACACAAATTAAATTAAAAAATGCGTCTTGTTATCTTTCTGTCTCTCTCTATATCATTGATGTTAGTTTCAAAGTACACACATATTTCAGTAGAAAAACAACCAACACGACTATCTGTTTTCGAGATGAAACACACTTTTTCAGCCTACTTGACATTTGTACATGAATAATCACTTCAATAAATAATAAAGTGGCACAGTTTAATAACTAATTCCACACGATTTTTCGTTATATTTTTTTTCACAAAACTATCGTTTCAAAATAAGCTATTTCAAATGAGTTGGCTTCAATCTCAATGAAGCTCTGAATTCACTATGCAGGTTTTAAAATGAAAACTAAAGTAACATGACATTCAGCATTCAATAGAAACTTCTCATCTTCACTTGAGAACAATTAGACAAGAACCCTAACCATTGTTCTGTCTGACTGGGGTAATCCTTGGGCATAAGGTTCTAGAGTAGGAGATATCAATGTTGAGAGAGTGGTCGAAAGACGGAATTTTGACGGTTCAAGCCAAAGTTGATGGATAGTCATTCCTTTTATTAGTAGCGAGGCACAGAAGCGTAGTGGCTGACATAATACTGAAAGGAATTCATCACTACAAAAGCCTTCAACCGGATCCGATCAATGCTGGTCATTCTCAACGTCTAAAGCGTATAATTACAATTTTAACATTTGTTCCTTGACTTGTGTTCATATTAATCATGTTTCACAAAAGTTGCTGTTCAACTGGAATTTCTTGTAATTTTTGTTTGGCTTAATTGCTTATTAAATTGTGGCAGAGAACCTGACTAACTGAAATCAAGTTGACTCGATAGGCAGAAATGTGAGAGAGAGAGAGAGATTCCATTTCAATCTTCTTTTAGTGTGAATTAATTGACTCAGTAGGGAAATACAACACTGTTTAATCACTTATCAGCTGCCTAATTGATAAATACACTCAGTCGTTTCACTTGAAGGAGACAAATAAGGATAATTAAAACGTCTATTCTCAATACATTTCACATGAAAGGCGCCAGTTTCGAGATATCAGCAATATGGCACATGAAGTAAGGGTTATTTACACGTTCATTATTCCTACAGGAATATATGTTGTATGACATTTTGGCTTACATGTACGATGAAAGCAAAGCGTAATACATGTGGAAATGAAGTTGTGCAATTTTCTTTTCACAAGTACATTTTTTAAGTGCAACAAAGAAGTATGATTTTGCGAGTGTGCATTATATGAACTGACAAGAGAGATGGATGACTGGATTGGTGTCCAATCATAAATTTCCTAATCAGGAGGCCTGTTTCCACTAATACTATTATTGATAGATACATGAATGACCCTATATACCTCACTTGAATACCACTGATTGATTAAACGTGCAAGCCTTTATTCGTGTTAATTGTTCAGCAGTGAGTCAAACCGATAAAGGTTTAATACACCTCTTGGATAATGAGGATTTCATCCAGTGGGGAGTTTCTCGACTTTCAACATTTTGAAGTCAATTCGATTGAAGCAAACAACATTCAATGAAGTGTTTGTCTATAGTGAATTTGTATTAAATGTTTTCAAAATATCAAGTATTGATTTTGTAGGGAAATTTCTATGATTGATTTGACGATTTTATGATGAGCGGACATTAGTTAGAGAACCACTGGAAAACCTGCAGTGAGTACTGGACAGCTGTTTCGTCAGCCTAATTTGCCACTCTTCATCAGTAAGCACCGATTGATAGGGTTCGAATCAAGGACGTTCTGGCTACAAGGCTAGCGAGTTCGTAGACCATGAAGGAGCTACTGGAACCCGATCCAATGACCAGCAAGCCCATAACTTCTAACTTCTGCAAACTCATGACATATCGCGACCACTTCAACGTGCTGCACCCTACCGGTCACGGATTCCCACAAGAACCTCAGGTCAACTGCCTGAATACGGCCATTCACTAGTTAGCATCAGATTAATTTTCGAGTACTAGTTTTATGGGGAATTTTGTTTCATTGGTTCGAGGATTTCATCATGATGTCATCACATTCTGGGTTCGAACCTCAGCGGTGGGTGAGTTGTGATAAAGAGTCCCAAACTAGGACTGAACAGCTGTCCAGTACTCCTAGGATTTCATATTACTTTGTGTTTGTGTTCTCCACCTTGGAGTTATTCAAACAATGGAAATTATTGCTTTCCTAGGAAATAAAACCTCAAAGTTGCTTTATCTCATGAGAAATGAACATGTTTTCCTAACGGCAGTGCCAGGTGATATCATACTCGCTGGAATTATATACTTTGGTACCAACATTGTCCAAACGCATTTGTATGTGAGAGGTTTACAATTTTATTTCAAATAATCGAAGATACGAAGTCAGTTCCATATACTCAGCTACTGTATGGTGGAA